TCACATTCTTAACTAATTACAACATATTGTCCTCCTTTTGTTCATACAAATATCACTTCGCATTCACCATTGACTACTTAATCCAATAATAGCTATATTGGTCATATCTTGTTCTGTGATCAGTGAAATAATGGTCTAACATTTATTGAGTGTTAATTATACATTTTGTTATAATCTTGTACCATATACAATAGTTTAATATACTTATATTTGCAATTAGCGCAAAGTGATCTATATAACACATTACCTAGGATATTCATAAGGAATGCCCAAGCAAATGGCTTTTGTACAAAGTCTCTCTCTCTGGTAAATACATACATAACATAATAATTCCATTCTTCAAACTGCAACAGCTGTAAACACAGCTGCTTAATTACAGAGGTACCCAAGCTGCCAATTCTTGTACTGATAAAATATGGCTTTGGTTTGTAGGACAGTATTGCAACTGCCTCTGATTTTATCCTTAGATTATATAGATAGAGTCGCTCCATATAAATGCTCCGAGAAAAGCGGGTCAACTTTTAATACAATTTTGCGTGATAAATAGTCATGAGTGTTTCCTATATAACTTCTATATTTATTTTGTTTTATAATTTTCGTATCTTTTTAATGCGTAAAAACTAATTTTGTTTATTAAATAATTAAATATAGATACATCAAGATACATTATACATAGAACGCTGATAAAAAAAAAAACGAGTCAGCCAATTTGACAATTAGCTGACGAAAAGTCGACCCGTTTTCGAGGCTCCGTGCTCTGTCTATATATTCTAAGACTATATCCTTCTATTTATGTGCCTCTGACTCCAGGCAACTAGACTAACCTCGGCCCAGATAAACGAGTATCGAAAACTAATTAGATGAGTGCTACATTAAGCACGCTTATCACTAGGGCTGTCACAAAGCTGACAAAATGCACGAATGAAATATACATTCGCTCACGGAATTGGGACATGAATAATTCAAACGTTGGTACGTGCGCGACAAAAAGCAATCGACGCCTCGTTATAATTGAACAAAACACTGATTCAATTTTAATAGATTTGTTTCGAAATTATCATGGGAGTAAAGACTTAATTAATACGACATAACCGGCACAATTATAGCGACTCGCCAATACTACCCTACGAATTTTTAATATTCTATTTGCGCGATTGAAAAGACGTGATTTCTTGAGAGAAACACTGTTTTTTTTTTTGAGGAGTGAAAATGGTACGGTAACCCCGGCTGCGCTAACGGGATACGCTGGCGGAGCACCAGTGAAGGGTGATAGATAAGAATGAAAACAGGCCAGTTAGCCCATCATGATGAATTCATCAGGAATTAACCATGATAGTTTCCAGGGGGTACCGCGAGGAGATCGACATGGTTGGGTATATTGCTAGCAATGGGATTCTGAGTCTCCATTACTAACAATCCCTTTCCCCCCAGAGAAACACTGTTACCTTGTTCTATTACGTTCTTTTATACTAGATTTGTAAGATTTTTAAAATATCGAAGATAAAACTGTAACTGCATCATCCGGAGTTGTTTATGTCGCATCAAACGCAATAAACTCTTTATTGCGTACAAAAGAGATATATACGAGAAGTATGTTTACAGAATGTGCATTTTTTTTTGTGCAACTTAGAACGGCAAACTAGCTGGCGGCCCACCTGATGGAAAGCGGTAACCGTCGCCTATGACATAACATGAGCTGTACATGTATAATAGTAGTATACATATATATAATAAAAAACCGACTTCAACTGTGGCCAAATAAATTATTTTGACTTAAAAACGAAGCCAGTAAACAAAGGTAAATTTTTGATGGGACCAATCTAAAAGCATATTCTTAGAGATAAAAAAAATAAGTTTTTCAAATCGGTTTACAACTGACGGAGTTATGAGGTAACAAACATAAAACCTTCTTTTTCTTAATCGGTTTGAAACGGAGATTCTCAATTGGGCTATTTTTTTTTATGATTATGTTATCAATTCTAGATATATTTTATAATTATTTTTGCAATCGGCAGAGTTTATTCCTATGTTAGCGCCATCTTAATTTTGTGACGTTTGAAGCCACTATTTTTTGAGGCAAAAATACTACGAAATGTCTCGTGTGAACACATAATAGTATATGTGTATTTTGTGCACGCGTGCGAGCGTGCCTGCGTGCGTGCGTGCGTGCGTGCCTGCGTGCGTGCGTGCGCTCGTGTGTGTGTGTGTGTGTGTGTGTGTGTGTGTGTGTGTGTGTGTGTGTGTGTGTGTGCGCGCGCATTTGCGTGTGTTCAGGAAATTGCTTTTTGCAGAACAAAATGTAATTAATTACGGCACCGTGTCAGTAAATCGATTTAAAGTCAGCCAAAGTCACGACCTTTGGGGTTTGAAAGTTCAAATAGTATATCACGAAGCCTCGGCGCTCTCATGTCAGCTTGAATATAAATCAGAGGGTAAATATTTATAATAGGGATGTCACATAAGCGTGTCAGTGTGGGTGGATCGAAAGGGAAAAGTCAGAACAGTTAAGTTGACAACTTAATGTACTCAGCACATAATGCACTTAGCACGTCCATTTGCGATATATGTATATTCGGAGTTCAGATCTTACCGCGGTATAAGTTTAACTTACTAATATTTTAACCGTTAAGACGTCAGACTAACAAACAAACTCTCTTTCATATTACATATACAAACATTAACTTATTGATTATTCACACTTTATTAGTAAAAATAAATTAATTCAATTGTTGTCGAAAATTTACAGACAATTGCGACGTTGCCAAAATTCGGTTAGCTTCGATATAAATGCACTTAAGATTTTGACCTTTAGAGAAACTTAGGGTCAAAAAGCCGTTTTAAACTATATTAAGTGTAAAACATCTAATCCCGTGACGTTTATTTGAGATTTATCTACCTTTATAGCCAATTATTTTATTTTTTATATATTTTTTATTATTTTATTTTTTTATCTTTATTACTACACCCTTTTTATTATTTTATTGTACTCAAATATCTGTATAGTTTTATTTGTTTTTTTAATTAAAATATTACGCAATAGTTGTAATGAACACACATTTTTTTTTCTTTTTCGCCAAGGAATTTCGCGGATGGCTTTGTGGTCACAAAAGAAAATCAGTGTTCCTTTTTAGGGCAAAGCAATAAACTGAGTCGTGGTCATTTTGTGTTACTATGTATGTCATAGAAAAGACGCACGAAAGAAAAAAAAATATGTTACGTTTTATGCATTTTACTAATAAATCAGGTATAAAACATGCACCTCTAGCCAATTTCATTAGACTAGAGAACTTATTGCAATACTTGAGTTTTATTGTCAATAGTGACTGGGGTCTAAAAAGTTTAAGAAAGGTAGTGAAATCTTTAATTCAAGAGATTTGTTATTTAAAGAAGTATAAGCTGTGAATAATATATATATACTATGTTACGTCTCTCCTGAATTCCTTGATGGATGACAATGGGATGAAGACCACGCCTATACTATCGATATACATTGACAAGGTTGCAGTTAAAAATGATCAGCAATTAGTCCATTACCTTAAGGTTGTCTTGAAAAGATTGCTCTCAGCAATAAGACCGCCTTACTGTACTTATACAATTGTATCGTTATGTTTGTAAATTGTCTTGTTTATTTCCTATATTGTATAATGCAAATAAAGTATACTCATTCATTCATTCATTCAGCTAGGATGAATTCAAACTAGTTAGCCAATCGTGATGAACTGATTAGAAATGAACTACGATGGTTACCAGAGGAGAATGTGTAGACATCTGTTCTGAACGATAAAAAGGAGATAGATAACTAATAAGAAGTAAAAAAAAAATGGGCCAAAGATGGACCCTTGGGGTACCCCATCCAGATAAGAGTCCTATTATTTGTAACTGCATTCATTTTAACTTTATAGATTCTATTTGACAGTCGTAATTCGATTAAATTTAAAGCGATGCTTTTGATGTTTTTCTTTATACAACTTAGAATGGCAAACAAGCTGACAGTCCACCTGATGGAAAGTGGTAACCGTCGCCTATAGACATGAGCAGTACCATGGACATAACAGAGTATACTGTTTCACCCATGATACCCCCCATTCGTTGCCATTCCTGAGGACTCAGATGTTATTCCTCTGTACCCTGTAAATTCACGCCATATCCCACCCTTCAAACCGAAACACAGCCATGTAAACACAACAAAATGTTATAATAAATAAGGTTTTTAAAAATCCTATTATGATCTTTACATTAGAAAGCCTTTGATAGATCACAGAAAACGCCAAACGCATTGACATAAAACTTTTTAAGTGTCAACCAGACTTCAACTAACTAATTTTGGAAACTATATTTTAGAGACGTAATCCACAAGAGCATAAACATTTGTATATGTATAAAAAAAAAATCGCGAACACTACACGATTACAAAAAATAGCAAATTTCAAATCCTACTTTTTACTAGATTTGTTTGATGTACTAAATCTATAGAAATAATAATTAGATTTCTTATAAATACAATGATTATAGTTAATACTATACTTTTTTTTATGGGCAGATTATGGAATGGTAACACCACCCGCGCTATCGGTATACACAGGCGGATCACCAGTGAAAGATAGGTGAGGATGAAGCAGGCCAGTTAGCCCATCGTGACGAATTCAACAAGAATTGTTCACGATGGTCTCCAGAGAGAACCACGTGGAGGTCGACCTGATAGGGTATATTGCTAGCAATGGGGCTTCAAACTCCATTGCTAACAATCCCTTTCCCCCCAACACTATACTATTTCATGGTAGGAAATATAAAGATAGCAAGAGAACTGAGCATGTAAATAAAATTCTTATTTCTGTTATTGAATACTTCGCAGGGACAATAATTTATTGGTGTGACCTTGAAAGTGAGGAAAACAGGGCCCTATAGAGATAAACATCCGTTTGTTTCAATATCTCCGAGAGCCCTGTGGGTAGATAGGTATAATTAGAATACGAAAAAAATATATTATTTATATTATTTACCTTGAGAACTAGTCTTAATCTTCTACACTACTAAATCCAAATGTCACTTTCTGCGTTTCATCACTCAATAAGATAAGCACTATGTCGAACAAATTAAACCATTTAGACACAATTTGGTCCGAAAATGACTACGAGGTCGAACTATTTGTCACCGAAACACGAGCTTTTCTGCACAGCCACTTGCAACTAACGCGTGTACACTATTTTTAAACATTTTTTTTTTTTCGAAATTCACATCACTATATTCCTAATTTAAATATTATCATTTTATTTAATCTATGGTTGCAAACGCAGACGTCAACGGAATGGTACTGGCCGGTTATAAAAAAATTGTTTTATTTTTAAATTGAGTTACACTGGCCGCCGGGCGCGCGCGTCCGCGGAAAGCGAAGCTCGAAATTCATATTTAGGTTAGAATCCGCGGGTTACGGCGCCACGCACACATGCGCACATCTCGTGTTAATAATGGCAAAGAATAATATTGTAAGGGACATTTTTCCGTTTAAAACTTATTACAATGTACCTAAAATGTTTATATAAATATGGGGATATATATATGTTGAAGTAAAGTTGTAGCTCTACCAATCACAGATACGTAAAACAATAATTTTGTCTTTAAAATACTTGGATGCGATTTAGTGATCCGAAGACACAATCTCAGCAGAAGGGTAAGTCAAAAATTGTTTCCGATCTTGAAGAAAAAAAAATCTTTTGAAACGATTCGAATGGAGAAGTCTCATATTGATCCATGAAAAATCTATGTTTAAAAGAACGATGTCACGAAAACCTTCATACTTTAATATATATGTTGAAATGCAAAAAAATTGCAGTAAAAAAAGAAAATTACACAATTACATAGGAGACGATGATTTTCTTAAAAAAAAAAAAAAAAACAGAGAGTAACATATATTTTATAAAAATATTAGTCCCCTAAAATCGAAGGCTGAGGAATTTTATAATTGACTAACTGTTTAACCAATCAATTTTCTAATTGACTACAACGGAGACTCTAATTTTTAAATTAATATTTTTTTAAATTAATATTTTTTTTTTTTTTTTTTTATTTTTTTTTTATTTTAATAAGACTTGCACATCTGCGTAAAATAATCTATGACACGAAGCACACATAGACTGTTTGGCAGACTTGGCGGCGTTCGTGTACTTCGGCCGTACGCGTCCACTGTTGGAAATTCGTCTGTTCGTTTGAATGGGAAAACTAAAGACTTACTACCGACTTGAAAGTCACTTTTTTACAATACTACTAGCTTTTAGCCGCGACTTCGTCCGCGTAAACGAAATAGAGAACATATAGATAGATATATAGATTATAGAACCGACACGACATTGTAACCTTCAAGAAAAGAGCATATTCCTTTTTAAAAGGCCGGCAACACACCTGCAATGCTGCTGGTGTTGTGGGTGATCATGGGCGGCGGTAGTCACTTACCATCAGGTGAGCCGCATGCTCGTTTGCCCGCTGTGTTGTAGAAAAAATATGTATACTAACTAAGAAAAAAATAGTCTATATTCTTCTCCATTCTATCATTCCGATATAAATGGTGGAAGCGACATGTTAACCCACTACGTGCAAAATTAAATTAACAATGACTCATAATAAACAAACAATTCCCTTACTGTATTGCAAGCGTGAACATAGATATAGCTATGGAGCTATATCTATGTTATTTGTATGGACAAATCCCAAGGATTTCTTTATAATAATAATAATAATCTTTATTTGCTTAAACACGGTAAAGTCAAAAATGTTACATTAGTCGAAAGAACATTCGTGCTTAGCTAACAGCGTGATAACATGCAAAAATACATTTAAGATTAACAATTAACATTTTGTTTTTTGTTTTAAGAAGTATTTTATATCATAACAACTATTTACATTACAGCCAAGTATACAATCTCTGTTTAAATAAATTCACATTTATTAATTTTAATTCATTCGGTTATTTATTATATACTTTACTATACCTTTTCTATTACGGAACCCTAAAATGTTAAAAATGCAAAGTGTGAGCTTGTAGCCGTCATCGATAAAGATTCGATGACTTCACAATCGAGACGAGAACTGATGGTAAAGTGCACATATTTGTTTTTGTATCCGACCTGTGTATCCAACAGAATGAGTCAATGAGGTATTACACGTCACTGTAGATACTCAGCATATATATATATATATATATATATATATATATATATATATATATATATATATATATATATATATATATATATATATATATATATATATATATATATATATATATATATATATATTTTTTTAGATAGATAAGCACTTTATTTGAGCCATTCATGTAAGACGTAAATTAACAAATAAGTTCATATTTTATTCATCATGATGGGCTAACTGGCCTGTTTTCATTCTCATCTATCACCCTTCACTGGTGCTCCGCCAGCGTATCCCGTTAGCGCAGGCGGGGTTACCATACCATTTTCACCCATTAAAAAAACACACACACACTTCCAAAGAATATTAGGTACCCTCTTTTGAACAGTCGGATAAGAGCACATGATTTGACTGGCGACCAATTATTATTCTTAGCATGGACGGTTCCTTACTCCCATAAAATGTAATCCACAAACCACAACGTCCGGTAACAAAACACGCGGGAAGTCACCACATATTGCGTCTGCCGCACATGAAAAAAAAAAAAACTGACTTGTCGTCAATTCATCTTCATTTTAGCCATTACCCGTCCACTGCAGGACATAAGCCTCCCCCATAGACTGCCATAAAGAACGGTCCTGAGCCACCTGCCTCGACTGACTCCCTGCAACACATTTCAGGTCGTCACTCCATCTAGTGGGCGGTCGTCCTACACTGCGTTTACCCGTACGTGGTCACCACTCAAGAGCCTTTCCTCCTCATCGATTGTCAGTTCTTCGAGCTATGTAACTAGCCCATTACCACTTCAGCCTGCCTATCCTGTCGTCAATTTACACGTGTGAACTGTAAGTATTAACTTGTGGTAATCGGGGGGAAAGGGATTGTTAGTAATGGAGACTAAGAACCCCATTGCTAGCAATATACCCAACCAGGTCGACCTCCTAGCAGTTCCCCCTGGGAACTATCATGGTTAATTCCTGATGAATTTTCCATTTTCACCCATCAACAAAAAACCTGTGGTAATCTAATTTCTGTCGTGCAGTCCCGGCATAGAGTGGGCCACGCGTTCTTTCAACGTGGGACTTCCTTCAACTTCAGTTACCTAAATCTCTCACAGACATATGTAGGTGACATAAAAAAAATACAAAACTAAACTATGTATATGAATACCTGGTGAATAGAACTATTGACTATTTCCTTGGAGATAAATGCAATAAATTTCCTAAACATTAGATAGATACTCTTTATTATTTCCTCTAAAAGATTACAATAGTAAACTTATTAAAGAAAACAATGGGCGACCTTATCTCTAAAAGCGATCTATTCCAGGCAACCTTTGGATTTGGTGGGAGGCACGATGAAAAATTATGTTAATTCTAAATATGACGATGTGATACATGTAATAATATAAATACATATCCCTACCCATTATATATACATATATATATATATATATATATATATATATATATATATATATATATATATATATATATATATATATATATATATATATATAATACCTACATAAATGCAAAAAAAAATACAAATACTGCTCACATGTACGTAAAAAAGTTATAAAAGTATGCCATTATTGAATTTCTTTATTTTTTTTTATAATATATATGTATGTTTGTGAAAGCCAAAAGCCAGTTGGCTGTACAGCTATAATTAGACCGTTTATGTTGTTGCATGGGTGTTTAGACGTCACTATTCACACATTAAACAATGCAACATACAAACCAATGGATACATTCTAATACAACACATAACTTGGGTAGTAGACAATGGTATCGATTCTAAAACGTCATTTTTCTAAACTTAGCTTTAATATTAAAATTTCACTTTGATCTTACAATGAAATCTTTATTCAAAGGACCAATTAATCAATCAATATCAATACATATAATAAAATCGTGTACTGATCGCTGTCTGTACATGGAAGATATATAAAAACAACTATTATAGTGGGACTTTATGAACGGACTAACAGAAGTTGGGTATTTATTTTATATTATTTTTTACATATCAAATATAAAGTAAAATAAGTAAATATATTTAATAGTATGATATCTAAAGTAAATGAACTAAGTGAACTTGTGCTTTATTTTTATTTATTACCAAGAGGCTTACAACATTTATATTACTAAAGAATATATATATATATATATATATAAATATTTTAATATGAACCGCCAGATCTACTGATTTTACACCTTATAGCTTATTTTAGAGTTCAAATTAGAAATGTAATTAACTTTATTAATATTCTTTGTTTTTATCGTAAGTTACAACCCATTGGGTTTTTTAACGTAACCTCCACCGACTGACAGATCGTAAGTATAATACCTGTCGCTTACAATATAGTAATAGGTTCTTAAGTTTATTGTAAGCTTCCTACTTGGCACTTACGATAACAAATTTATGCAACGTAAGTTAAATACTTGTCACTTGCGGTAGAAACAAAATGCGTTTTGCGTTGAGTTGTTCGTAAACTGTAACATTATTATACTCAAATAAATTAAATATGAATACCATAAACTTTGATAATTATATTAGAAAAGTTGCCAGCAGTTTTGAAAACCTTTGATATTTCGCAAATGACACTGCGTTACACTAAATTGCATAAAATTGCAAGTTTAAGTCAAAATCTGACCAACGCGGCAAAAGCACGCCTTCAAATAAATACAGTCAATCTCAAACTCAAAACGTAAGTAAATTTATAAAAAAGTTACCTGTCGGGCAATCACACTACTGTAGACATAATAGTAATAAATTGTACTTACCAACTGAATTTAGGGACGTGACTTATTTATATAGAAACTTTTACTTGAAAGATGATGAAACGAAAGATTTAGGTGCAGTAAGTTATCAAAAGTTTAGAAAAATGTTTAAAACTGAATGTAACTTAGGATTTCACTTACCAAAGAAAGATAAATGTGGTCAATATGAGAGAATAAAGAATTTGAATGATGAAGAAAGAAAAAAACGATAGAATCAGTTGCTTACAAGAATCACATTAAGGACAAAGAAAGATCATTAAAGCTATTTCTAGAGGATCAAAAAATAAGCAAAGACAACAGAAACTTTTTATATGCGAGCTATGATCTCGAAAAGGTCTTAACAAC